GGAAAGAGTTCTCCACCAGCCTCTCCTCCATGAGTCCTTCCCACCTGGCCCGGAGCTGCTCCAGTGCTGCCCACAGAGTCATGGGTGTTTTGGGAAGAGACTTCCCTGGCCCAGGGGCTTCCAAAGCTGTGCAGAGTCCACAGGCAGCAAATCCTCTGGCCACAAAATCCAAGTCCACTGGCCAAGTTCACCCCTCCTGGTGCCTTCAGGGAATGTTTCACCACGTTCCTCCATGAGTGCAGGGGCACAGCTGCCATCTCGCCATGGGCTGCAGGGAAACTTCTGCTTGGGCACCTTCTTCCCCTCCTTCCTCACCAACCACCAGCACTGCTCTCCTTCCCCAGCACAGCTCTTCTCCCCCCATTGCCTCTCTGCTCAGGTGTTATGTTGATTCTTTCCTATGTTAATGGCAGAGGTTCATCTATTGTCCCTCTAATGGCTTCTTGGCTGGGTTTGGAGCAGGGGGAGCTTCTCATCTTCTTACAGTAGCCACTCTGTGGCCCTTCCCCGACTCTGAGTCCACCAGGCAATAGCAAAGTCCTAAACCTCTGCAGTAAGTTTGGCTTTGATGCCCTGTGCAGTCTTAATTCAGCTGTTTTCTGTATATGCACAGTGATAGGTTAATACTTCTCAGTATCTCTCTGGGATGACCACTTGATGCAGTAAGAATGGATGTACAAATACAGTTCTTCTGGAAACAGTCAAAAGAAGCTAATTTCTGAAACTGTGTAGTAAACCCACAAATCACAAGTAATAACCTTCCTGTGTAAGGTAATTTCAGAAACTACACTGACACAGTCTGCCCTTCAAAGCTGCCATCCAGCACCTAGTTTAACACCAAGTCCTTCTCATCTTACATTCCTCTAAGTGCTTAAGGGTAAAAGAGGATGTGTGTAAGAGGCATGAAAAGACATGCAAGAAACTGTGCACTATCTGTGAAGAGTGCAGTGGGGGATTCCTGTCCCTGAGACAACTCCGCCATGCCCAGCTGGCATGGGTGGGAAGCTGATGGAAACACTGCCACAGAACCCCCATCCTTTGGGACATCACAGGGACCTGCCTACCCCAGCTGCTGCCAAGCTGGTGTGGAGAAGCCAAGGGTGCAGAGGGTGAGCTCTGCTGCATTTCACCTTGCCCTAGAAGCACAGCAGAGCCCACCTCCACCCCAGCCTGCACAGACAGCCATGTCCTTACCAACTTGCCATGCAGAGAGCTGCTCCTCCTCACAGCCTGACCTCCCTTTCCTCCCTTCACACACACACACACACACACACACACACGCCCTCTTGAAAATTCCCCTCGGCTTGGCTGGCCATGTCCCAGCTCTGCCAGCAACCTGCCCAGCTGCCCCAGCTCAGCAAACACTGATGGGAGTGGGAGGCCCTGGAGCCCAGGAGGAGATGGGCCTGGGAGGAGCCCCACACTCCTCCACCTCTGCTGGCAACCAGCAGAAGGGACAGATTAGAGCTGAATTAAGTTACCAGCATTAAATAAACATGCCTGCCCTCTTTGAAGTCCTGCTTCCCTTGAACATGAGCTCATTTCAGGAGGCCTCTTTTCACTCAGCCCCAGGAAGCTGTCAGTCTCCACAGTGTTAACTCTTTGCAGGACCCCTCAGCTCCCCCAAGGATCTCACCCTCCCAGTACCCAGGGTGAAAGCATCAGTTGGGTCTGTGCACGGAGCCTGGAACAACGACCACTAGCACCGACCTCCTGCACATGTCACGGGGTCTCCATGATTTAAAGGTAATTTCCACCAGGAAAGGGAACCTCCCCAACTCCACCACTTGGTCCTGCAGGCTCCAGGCTGGCACACAGGGTAGTTTAACTGAAGCTGAGGGCAAGGGGGATCCCTCTGGGGTGAAGCATCCTCCACCCCTGCCAAAAGCAGCACTCTCAGGTCCTGGGGGGACTGTGCTCAACCCTCCTCCATAAAAGGGCAGAGAAATAAAGGAACAAGGGAGGAATGTATTAACAGACAAGGAAAGTTCCCAGGGCTCCCTTCTTCTGGTTTAATCGCATGAAGTGGAAATTGGAACGCCTGGGGCAGGAAAGGGAGGAGGTAGGCACAGAGAGGAAAGTAAAATACCACAAAGACAAGGCTGATCCCTACTCCACAGCATTTCTACATGGCTCATGCAACCTCTGCCGACTCCTGCTCAAGCACTTGAAAAACATGGCAGAAATCTGCCTAAGCACAAGGGCTGCCCCTGCCTGAGAGTGTGGAGATGTGACTTCTGGGGTTAATTTTTTTTTGTATATGAGCAGGAACTGCAGAGTTGCTACTGATAGAGTCAATAAGAGAAAGAAGGCCTGTCACTGCTGCCTGCCACGGGGGAAAAGCAAATGCTTCTCAAGCTGGCTCCAAATTACCACCCTGTTGCCCCCATGCTGGGGTGTTATTTCTGGATGCTCTCTTTGCTCAGTTTCAGCTCCTGGCATGGGGAGGCTGCAGAGGAACAGAGCTGCCAGCACTTCATACCATGGGGACTTCCACCCTCCTCATGAAACCTTTCACACCCAGTTTAATGCCAGCAAAACTCCCACCCAACACCAACATGTCTTTAGCCACTCATTCAGTACCTGAGAAGCACCTCGGAGATGCTGAGCAAGAGTTTGTGACTCCAGGACACTGCTGGAGAGGTCAGCCACCAGCCAGGAGGTCCCCAGCAGCTCTGCAGAGCCTGCAGGGTGGCAGCAAGTAGGACATAAACAAACAGCAGGAAGTGAGAGAGAGGCAGGGAACATCAAGGCCAAATGGAGAAATCCAAGATAAACAGTGAGACTTTCAGGTCCCAGCCGTAACAGAAATCACCTCCTCCCGAGGGGAGCCCACAACCTGGTTTGAAAACAGATGTATGAGGTGACCTCAGGTGATCCACCCCAACACCTGCCTTGCAGCAGAGGACAGAAATGGTCACATCATGGGACAGGAAAGCACCAGCCTGATGGGTTAGCACAAGCTGACCCTGGATTTTCAAGAGGAACAGTCATCAGAGAAATGTCTCTCCTCAGCAATCCTTCAGCTCCAGCAGAGATTTCTTCCTGTTTCGCACATGCAGGACTTGCCAGCCAGCAAATGCCACAGGGATGTGCCTGAGGACAATGACAGCTCCCCTGGTCCCAAACACAACTCCAATGCTAGCAAGCTAGAGACACATCTGAAAATCCCAACAGCCAAAACTCAGACCTTTGCAAGGCACCAAGCTCCTAAACAATCACAGCTCAAAGAACAAGGCAGGTATGACCTGATTCAAGCCTGCTTTTCCATGATCACAGCAGAGATCCCAGCACAGAGCAAGACAACTGTTGGAAGCACAAACAGGCACAGTCCTGCAGTTCAGTAGGTCTTGTTACTCCCTTATTATATCCACAAATAGCCCAGTTCCCCTGTGAAAAAGGCCCTAGGAATGTGTGTTCCAGAGACGCAGGAAAGACCCCAGAAAAATTCCTGAAGAGGAGCAGACCTCAGCAACATCTTAGAGCACTACTATCCCTTCAGGGAGCCACCATCCTGCCCATCTTTACAGATGGCTGTCCCTTAGCACCTTGACACCAGGCTGTCACACTGCTAAGGGTATGATCATCTGCACCTACACCACACACGAAGCAACAGTAAGAAAGCCAGACAGAGCACCCAGATAGATGACCTTGCTGCTTGCCTCTGCCTGCTTTGCTGCTCTTCAAGAGCTGAGTGGAGGAGAAAGATAGCTAAGCAACAACACGGGCCTTACCTTTTGTTCCAGGGGGCTGCAGATTATCTCCAGTCAGCGAGCACCAGCCTACGGGAAAGATGTCCCGGGAATCATATCGGCACCAGTAATCGAAGGCACCTCTCCAGCCATCAAATGTTATGAGGACCTCAGAACCTCTCACCTCCCCAATGGTGGCCGGGCAGATGAAGTGAGGGTTCTTCCTGTCCACTGCCTCCAGCTTCATACCTGTCTTGAAGAAGTTTTGGGATGGAGATGGTGGTTCCTGCAAGGAGAAGTTGAAGATGTGCTCCAAGAAGATCTGCCAGTGCCTCCCCAGACTAGGGCTGTTCCCTCCACCAGCAAACTCACCTCCACAAGCAGATGAAGAAGGGAGCTAGCGGGCTGGGTTTGAACCCCAATTAGCTGTGCACACACTGGCCTAGCTACACAACCACATGTCACTTAAGTCACTGCTGGAGTCTGCTCCTGACTGCTCTGCCATCACCTGGCTGCTGGACCAAATCCAGACAGTGCTACATTAACAGTGCACCCTGTGACAATTCTGTCATGCAACACGGGCAGAAAATCAAGCTCCAAAGAAAAGAGGCTGTGTAGGATACTTGCACCTTGTTATCTCAGGGCAGGAAAACCTGAGATATGACAGTCTTGCTCCATCATTCTTACCCCATCTTCAGCTTTGCTAGACATGTGAGACATCTGCCATCCATCCTTATCTGGGGCTTGATCTTCCTAACCTTCTGTACTTGAGATACACTAAAGCCACACCAACCACCCCAAACCACAGCACATGACTCTAGACTGGCTTCTGTCTCTCTCTGACTTCACTAAGGGTATGAGAATACAAACTACAAAATCATACTTGCAATGTTGCCTCAGCAATATTTGCACTCCTTGCAAGCTCTGCTACATTAAAAAAGTTTCAGAGAGATGCTGACTTTCCCATATTGCATTCCTGACTTTGAGTGGCATCTGCAGCCCAAATGAAAAACGAGCTCTGAAGCCCAAAGCACTTGCTTAGCAGACCTCTGTCTGCATGTCCCTCTACGACACAGCAGCAGAGCGTATGATCTGTCCCAGAGAAGCAGCACCGTGGCAAAGCTGGGCAATGTTCATCTCCTCTGGGATCAGCACATCTCACACGAGACACCAGCTGTGATTCTGGTGCTTTGCAGCACAGGGGATATGCCAGAAGGATGGTCTCACAAACAGCACAGTGAAATACCTTGTGAAAAATCCGGACGGGAGCCATCTCTGCTCCATTCAGAGTCTTCAGAAGGAACATGGGCCAAGAGGAGGCATTCAGCCGAAAGCCTGCAGAGAAGGAAGCAGAGATGGAGACTTTAAGGCTCTGGGGGCCACCAGATCCAGCAGCACATGCCTGCTCTGATGGGAACTTTGCAGCAGGCACACACTGTGATCCCACATCATCCTCCTTGTCATGCTGGAGAGTCGGGTTTGACCTCTTCCAGATACTTAGAATGCAAAAGTTTATGTTGTTGAAAAGAAACATCTGGAAATGGATGTTTGACTGCAATATAAACTTATCATAACAAAAGCCTGTACATTGACCATACTGCAGAGCACTTGGTGCAGCTTTAGTGCTGGCAGCTTCAATGATCCAGCTACAGGGAGACATGAATCAGCAAGTGCACACTCAGGCCATGAAGTTTCTTCCTCAGTAGGGAATCTCAGCTTCTGGGTGGGCTGCTCCACCTTCTACAGGGAGCTGCAGAAAAGCTAACCTGAAGACATGAAAAGGCTGTGACTTGGCTGGGAAACACATGAATCATTACAGGAAAGAATGGCAGGTTTTGGCTTCACATCTTCTGCAGAAAAAAAAAAAGAAAAAGTACAGAAACAACAGGAAGGGGCTTGCAGGAAGAAAAAAGCAAATAAAAGTTTCCAGATATCAAAAAGCTCCATCTTTGCTAAATGTGCATCTTCCTGCACAGGCAATTTCTGCTGCTCAGCTGAACAGGGCATTGCACTTTCTGTATTTGCAGTGTTTGGAAGGTAACCCAGGGACTGGACCCAGATGGAGAGAACCCTGTGATGACCAACTTAGCAAAGCTTTGCCAGGGCCAAAATGCCAGAACACAACCAGCTCAGTACAGGCCACCCTGCCAGCCCTGCAACTTCGTCAAAGCAGCCTGGAAACCAACCGTGATAGACACAACCCTCAGGTAGGGCATGGGAGAGGAAAGCTCTCAGAGAGGCAAATATCACCTTTTACCTACAGCTTCTATGTAAAGAAGGGGAGCAGCAGCAGATGGGTACAAATGATAAATTGCTACAAGGAGCACAGAAAAACCTTACTGTGTTTTCTGGGCCCTTGCACTCTGCAGACAAAAAGGGCAACTGCAGAAGTAGCTATTTGTTACCTGTCTTTATGCTGGCTGAAAGAGAACCACTCTATCTGTCCCAAGGTTAAACAAGTGATGCAGAACAGAGCTGGGCACACAGACTTCTTCCAGAGTATGAACCCTCTCCTCTGGCACCTTCAGAAATTACTTTAGCTCTGCAACTCGATTACAGTTACTGCCATCTGCTGGCAAAACCCAGACAAGGCACAGGAGGAACCCATCTCTGCAAGCAAGGACAGGTACCTGCACCTCCTGGGCAGGCTGCAGGATTTCAGAGAGAAGTCTCCACAGGGACAGCAGCATGCATGAAAGAAACAACACAAATGGCAGCTTTAATATTAATAGCTGCAGCAGATTTTGTCTGTAGCAATTATTAAGGGAAAGGATACAATTAGACTTTGCATATACACATCTTGGGTGTGATGTCATGAGCCAAAACAGGCATCTGCTGATGTTTCTTCCTTCTTCAGAAAGGTCAGTCTCAAGTATCCCACTGCAATTTAGAATGTACTACCACCAAAGCTCAAAAATGGTGCTGAATTATTATTCCTGAATAAACATGAATAAAAATACTCCTAACTCAAGGCATCCTATTGAAAGTTTCTTGCATCACTATAGATCAGCTTGATATTTTTTGGAGATGTGCTAACTGAGAGATTCATGACAACACTCTGAAAATGATGGGCGGTAGAATGTAAAAGCAGGTTAATCTTACTACTTAATCAGGAAAGAACCAGCTTACCAATTGATTAGTGTCAAGAAATTTTAAAATAAAATGTGTGTGTTTATCTGAAGACAACATTGAAGTGCTCAACTGCCCAGGTTATTTTTATAAAGCTGTAGCCAATAAGTAATATTAGATAAACAAACAGATAAATATCACGAGCTTCTCTTCAGGTGAGACAGGACTCAAATCACTGGCAACTTTTCCAGACATTGTTTCCCCATCAGATGGTCTCCAGCTAACCTGCTATTGCCCCAAAGACACTAGGGCATGAATACACTTAGCAAGAATGAAAATGTAAATGTTTTTGAAATCACAGTGTAAGGATTAGTAATGATACAGCAGAAGCCTCTGCCCTAATTGCTCTCATGGTTATTCTCTACATCTAGATTTACAGATCCCCAATAAAGTACCTCCATCCAGACACCAGTACTGCGCTCAGCTCCACTGGGAGCATAGAGGAAAGCCCTGCCAGGTGGCAGCCACTGCATGCCAAGCACACCTTTGAGATGACAGCGCTTGTGAGCAGGATCAGAAGCCTGAAGCAATGGGCAGCACCCAGAGATCAAGCCATGGCTAGAGCCATGTGCCAGCACTGCCTGTGCGACTGTGGTGACTCAGAAAAACAGAACCTGCATTTTCTCTGTCCTTGTACAGACAATCATCTGGGAAAGGCCATCACACCAGCTCTGCCTTCAGTGCTACTGCCCACAGTCCTGGGTCACCAGGACTGCAGGGACCCCCTTCTTTGTTCATGTGACTTGTGGGAAACAGAGTGGCTCTGGCATTCTTTTCTGTTTTCCTTTGAGGTACAGAGGCAGATTCAGAAGGCAGAAGAGCATGGGCACCACATCCTAATAATCCCGAGCTACAGCAGCAGAGCAAGCAGCTCACCTGGGTGCAAAGAGCTCTTTCATCTACACTCTAAAGCATCTCCCTATCCATGCCACAATGTCCACATGGAAATACAGATTTGTTGTGGGATACACCTGTTTAACAGCCCAAGCTAACAGGGCTGGTCTACATCACAGCGGTGGGCAGGAGCAGCCCATGGGTCTCTGTACCAAGCACAGAAATATAGTAAAACCTAGGGTTTTAACAACAGATAATGTAGGCACTTGCTGGACAGCTGAACTTTAGCTCACCCAGGGGAGGCTGCAGCATCCCTCCATTCTTCTCACAGTTTCCTATGGGCTGGATTTCAGCAGAGTCCACCAGCCTCCAGAAGTCATTCTTGTTGTCGCTGCCATCGAGGCGCAGGCGGAGCCGCGCGCCTGTCAGACCCACCACTGTGGCAATGCAAGTGGAGGTCATGTTCCTGGGATCCTGGGCCTCTAGTTTCATACTGATCTTGAATTCATTTGCAGGTGGAGTGTATGACTGCAAAGAGAAAAACAAGAGCCGTAGTCAGAGCCAGGATCTCCAACATATGCACCACCTCAGTCACAAAGCTCAAGTCCTAAGAGCATCAAAACTGATTCTAGCGAAGACTGAGTGTCCTCCAGGCACAGCAGGGGAAGAGAGGCCACAGAGCAGCAAAGGAAGCTTGGTGAGCCCTGGCAGATCTGTGGCCCAGAACACTGCTTTTCAGTACTGCATTACCTAGACAACTTTTCCTCTTCTCTTAGTCCCCTTCCCAAGAGAATTACCCACCTGACCCAAGACCCAGATAGTCCTCTGGGCTGCTACCCTCGGTCCAGACCCAGGGGTGTCATGCCAATTCAGTCCTGTATCCCCTGTGCTCAGTGCTGTCACCTCTGTGCTCAAGTACCCGGTGCCTGGGGGTGCTATTCAGTTCACAAAGATCTGGTGAATTCTAACAAAAAAATATTTGCTGGGCAGGATCCACCAAAGCCTGGATCACAGCCTATTCAGAACATTTTCTCCAAGACTTTGTGATCAGCAGAGAGAAAAACACTCTTGTGCCCCCAACTGTGCACGTCTGAAAGTTAAGACTTCTGCACCACTTCAGCATTTGCAGTGTCTGAATCTATCTTTTTTATCCTTGTCTCAGCAAACTTATATGTCTATTAAGTTTCCAATTTCCTTAAGCATTTTCCTTGCCAAAAAAGGGGCCTATTCCAGGCACATAATTCCCTGGTCACCAATGGGCCTATTGCCCTTGCCCTTCCTTGTTTTCATGCATCCTCTTACCTGCTTGAAGCAATGGGCAGGAGCTGGGATGGCACATGTCTCTTTCAGGTATTTCTCCCAGGTGAAGTGACCTGAGAAGAGAAATGAAAAGGATTCAAATAGGAACTGAAATGCAAAAACGTCAGAAAAAGAGATGGCTGGACTCTGAATGCCAGCAGTTCTCTGCTTCTCACAGAGGAGGTGCTCACAGGCAACATGTTTTCATCAAGATCCTCTGATGTTTGCGACCACAGAAGATTTACAACTGCAGCTGACAGGCAGAACAAAGCCTGGTGCTGCCTACGGCATCTTGCTGCCTCCACACTGCTGTGGAGGGTCTGCAAAAACTCAGGATAACAATCTACACACACAGCACAGATGAGAATCTGTGGAGTCTTCCAGACAACTGCCCCTTAAAAATCATTTGTTAAACACATTGCTCAGTCTGGGGATTAAGAACAGTCACTGAGGGCTAAAAGCAGCCCAAATGAACAGGAAACTTCACGGGTCCCCCAGTGGTGCAGCCCTGTGAGCCAGCACCTTGGAGCAGGTATCAGCCCATCCCCAGCAATTAGTGGACAGGTCAGCAATTAATTCCTTGAAGTCTACAACACGGACAGGATGCTCTAAGTGGGGATTTACTGAACAGAGTGGCTCACATCCAACATCAAAGCCTGTTCCACCGACTGCTGCTGCTGGGAGAAGCACATTTTATCCTTGCCTGCACTATGTACTGCAAGAAGGGTAAAAGCAATAAGCCATCCAGGCAAACCCGTTATTAAATGAAGAATTAAAAGCTCCTGTGATCCAAGCAAATCATGGCTTTTGCCATTTAAACTGAGCAGCTGGGATAGGATCCTTCCAGCATGAAATTAGCTTGTATTCATCTGAATGGCTCCCAGGGGACTGCAGTTTTCAAGTCATTTCAAGAGCATTGGTGGCAGCAGGATTAAAGAGCCAGTTACCACTTCCCCTATTCACATCAAGTTTTTAATCAGTCTGTTTTCAAAACAATAGCTGTGTTAAGAGCCATTTTAGCTACTGAAGCACACATCACACCTCTGCATATTCAGGTATTAAGGTCAGCACACACACAGTTACTTCAGTTCTGCCACACCTGCACAGAGAAGCCTTAAGGGCTCACTAATCTACTACCTACAAATAAATAAAAGAAATGCTGCTTTCTTGCCACCTCTCATGCAGATGACTCGCACGCTGTTAAACAGTGGAAATGAACAGAAAGAAATACAGTTTTGTTGCTACTCTAGCTAATACTCTAGTATTTCTGTTTACAGACTGACAGCAGCTCTCCATTCCTCAGAGTACACTTTCCACCCACTGGCATGCATTTTCTTTTAGGCCAACAGTATCAGAGTTAGATGAATGAAGAAATTCAATGATTCACTGCAATGATGCTCTCACAAAAACCCAGTTCTTTTGCTTTAATTGAAGATATGATTTTACATTCAGTTACATCAATGAAACTCTTTGTATGAATTGAGTAATAAACACTCAGCCAAAGTAAACTCAGGCCCTCCTGGCATGGAAATGCCTTGCTGCCTCCCACCCCTGAACTCAAGTTGCTGATCTGGGCTCATCTCAGACCGGGGTGTAACTTCAGAGGCCTTGTCCATGGAGCACAGAGGATGCACACGCTGACAGTGCTGGGGTGAGAAGTGCAAACCGCAGCCCCAGGGCCTGAGCAAGCATCTTGAAAAGCATCAGCTGCGCTTGACAATTTTAGTTTAAAAAAGAAACCTCCCCTCCCCTCAGCTGGTTTCAATCCCTTGCTATTAAAAGTAGTCATGGTTTTAATCCTTGCACTTTTCACTCGCTCTGCCCCATGCGAGGCTGCTCTGCTCCCTACAGCAGCTCACGCCGCAGTCGAGATCAACGCTGCACAATCCCAGCAGGAGCAGTAAATTTCTGAGACAGCTGCATGCCTCTTAAAATAGTGTTTGGACATGGAACTTATTTGAGATTAATTCTAAAGCCTGCTGGGCCCAACCACTATATGAAGACACACACACACAACACTAGAACTGCAGCTACTTGCAAGTCACAGGTCTGGTGACTTATTTTGCAAAGAAACAGGGAAGCAGCAGAAAGACTTTTCTAAACTCAAGGAAAAGACAGAGCTGATACAGCTGAGTTAAGCCTTCCTTCTCTCTTCATTGTCAGCCATTTCTTTACACACAGATGGCATCACAAGGACTAAATTAAAGAGAGTACATTCTTTTTCACTATGACACTCAAACCAGGACAGAAACTGGGTATTGAAACTGGAGGCTGCCACCCCTGCCTTCGCACTAGAGGAAGCCCAGCAGAGAACACAGGGAATGGGTTTACATTAATTCAGGAACAGTATTTAGCTCACAACACAATGCTTTTCAAGCAGGATGCTTAACCAAACATAATCAGCCTCAACCTAAAAACTGCAGGAAAAATCAGAAGAAAATGGCATAATGCAAAGTTTGGGTTGGGTTTCTTGGTTCTATTTTTTTACAACACAGGGACTGCTGCCAATAACATAGAAAAGGCCAGAAGGCTTTTTTAACTGGAGAACAGGTAACAAGCCCTGAGCTCTCCACCTGAAAAAGAGAATGTATGGTTGAAGATGGATACATCATACTTGGCCTTCTCAACCTTAGCTCCTCTGGATCATACCCAAATCCTCCTTGCTACACTGATCCCCACTCTTCCAATGCTCAGCTCCAAACACATAAGCTCTGCAGCCTCCATGCCAGGTGTGCTGCCAGCCAGGACACCAAAGCTGCTGATGCCATTTTACAGGCTCGCTGGGTCCTGAGGTTATATGGCCAGAGGGAAACACCGAACAATATAGTCCTTGGCTTTCCTGTTAGCACAGACTGACTACCTTGTATTTTTTATTGCTCAGTGTTCTTTTTCACATCAATAAATCTGATGTCTTACTGTAGAGGGACTGGATGTTTTAGTCTGCCAGATGATTGTTTCTTATCTAGCCTGGGCAGGTAACACTGGCAAATGTTTTCTGAGTGTTTTTCAAAAAACCCTGGTGGCTTTTTTCCAATTTCCAGTGAATCACTTTGCTTCAGAATAGACCAGCACTTCAGCCAGTCCTGAAGTGTCCCTTTTGCTGCTGATGAAGCAGGAAAAAAGCCTGACTGTCAGGCTGAAATCCTCTCTCACCCCAAAAAGCAAGGGGGGGGACACTCACTCTGCTGCTGCCTCCAGCTTCCAATACAATATGCAAAATATCCTACCAGCCCTAAAATCACCCTCTGTTTTGCTCGGTCTCTGCCTTCTCTTTCATCCTGCCCCCTCCCTTGCAGACCACACTATGCTCCCACAGACTGGAAGGATCACCACTCGAACAGACCCTGCTCCTCCATTTAACCTACATGATCTTCTTTAAAGGAAGAAATGAACAGACACTTAATGAGGAACACCATGTTTCTGTAATTACATCTGTGAGCTAAACAAAAGCCAAGGATTGTAAACCTATATGGCTTCTGGTAACTTGGCTGTGAAAATCCCTACTATGGGTGACTGTCTATCCCTTTTGCTTGCTCTCAGAAAGCTATTTACCTTGTGTTTGTGCCAAAGGGAGATTACTTGCAGGCAAGTGTCAGATTTGAGCTCTGATGTCTTAACCTTCAAAAATATTTACTACAAACAAAACACTCCACACACCCAAGGGGTTAAAACTACAGTAGTTGTGAACAATGCAACTGTGCACCCTTGTGTTTGGATTCTCATCATGTTGCATTTAATGTTGATCTTTTGCCCAGAATTTAAATGAAGACAGAGTTTCTGTTTATATCTTTAACCCAAGTCTGGTTTGGGCTCCATTAGCATTTCAGCTCCCGAGGGGTCATCAATCCAACTGAAACAATACATGTGCATTTCAGGTCACATCTGTGAAGGAGAATGTGTCTTACCCAGATCAAGGCATCCCATTAAAGTCTGCAGCCCATATGTGTGTCTGCTAACGAGCATCAAGGCAGGACATGAAAGCAGCACAGTCTGAGCCAACTGGGTATGAAAATTAGCAAAGTATCATCTCTGCTCGCAGATCCAAAGGCGACTGGGCACAGCCTCTCAAGGGTCAGCTCTCCCACCATGACAGCAGAGCTCCTGCACATCCTACCCACTAGAATTTGCAAGCATTTCACTCAGCTGCACATTCTCCACTGGTAACAGCTACAACAGATAACACGATCGCGCTTAATCACTGACTTGCTCAGAAGAAACATGAGAAGCTGAGAGCCAAAACTAAGAGGTTTCAAACACCACAACACTGTTGAACACCTCTTCTCATAGGTCTCCCAGTTAGCTTTGAGAAGAAATCCTTTCAGCCTGTACTTCTGGGTACTCCATGCTGCAGTTCCACCCTCTCACTGTGTACCCGAGCTTCAGGCAGTGATGAGCTGCTGGGTTTCTTGCATGAGGTGATCCCCAGTCCCTGCTGCTGCCCCGCACGCTAGCCAAGCAGACGTGTTTTCAGCACATCTGCTGTGCTTCCTGCCCAGGCCAGTGAGCCCTGGGATGCAGTGAAGTGCTGTGGTTAGTGTGCTTAGAACAGAATGGAATCATCCTGGTTGGAAGGGACCTTGAAGATCATCAAGTCCAATCATAACCTAAATCCCCTACCATAACCTAATCTACCTGTTTAGTGCTTAAATCATGTCCCTAAGCACTATATCTAAGCACACATTTCCAGGGATGGTGACTCCACCACCTCCCTGGGCAGACTGTTCCACTGTCCTGCCACTCTTTGGGTAAAGAAATTCTTCCTAATCTCCAGTCTAACCCTCCCCTGGTGCAGCTTCAGGCCATTTCCTCTCGTCCTGTCATTACTCACCTGGGAGAAGAGCCCAACTCCCACCTCTCTACAACCTCCTCTCAGACAGTTGCAGAGAGCAATAAGGTCTCCCCTCAGCCTCCTCTTCTTCAAACTAAACAATGCCAGTTGCCTCAGCCTCTCCTCATAGGGCTTATTCTCCAAACCTTTCACCAGCTTGGTAGCTCCTCTGCACACGTTCCAGCACCTCAACATCCTTCCTGTAGTGAGGAGCCCAGAACTGCACCCAGTACTCAAGGTGTGGCCTCACCACTTTCTTAATGTAAGAACATGGAGAATATAAGGACATATGAATATGGCATCTTTATACTCTGTAAGTAAAATCTGGAACCTAAAATCTTTTACTAAATTATACAAGCCTTCACAAACTTCCTAAAGTTGGAAGTTGCCTGCATATCCCCCCCCAGAGATAGCAGGAGCTGCCAGTTTTATGAACTCAATCTGCAGGCACCGTGCATAGGGTCCAGCCTGCCCTGCCTCACCCCCAGCAGGAGCAAGAATGGACCAACTCCTGCCCTGCTCCCTGCCCAGCTGGCACTGCCTCTGCTGGGGAAGAGCCACATTCCTGCCCGTGGGGGAGTGCTGATCACACCATGTCTCTCCTACAGCAGCAGGGACTGGGCTTGCTGCTGCTGTCCATGAGGAGAGGAGCTCGTGGAGGAGCCAGAGGGTCCTCCTGCTTGATCCTGCCTGATTTAAAAACGAGCCGCCCCAGTAGTGTTCTCACCCCAGTGTCTCAGCCATCTTTGACTGCGGTCAGAAATAAACGTACAAGCACTGTCCAAATGCAGTTTTTATCTGTGAATTAATTTGGCATGCTGCAGTTTCCCACACCCAAATGACTCAAAAAGCTTTTAGGGGGAAAAAGAAAAACCACAGAAGGAGAGAGAAGGGAAGAGGAAAAGGGAGATCTCTTACCTTGGTACTGGGAGGGTGACTCTGACGGGCGGCCGTACTTCTGCTTTTTACCATCTTTCCAGTCTATGGCTGAGACAAGAAATAAAGCATTTGTATTAGTGAAAGAAGCCAGCTACTGCACCCTTCAGCATCACCTGTTTATGTCACCTGCTTTACAGGCACTTCAGAAGAGAGGAGTGACCTCCCTGTCATGACCCCAGGTAACATGGACAATTTGTCTAAATCTATGGGGTGAGCTCCTTTCCTCCACACAGCTCTAGGAAAGACCTGACATGAGGTATCTGCACCTGCATCTTAGGCTCTGCCCAGTCTTCACCAACTAGTGCTCTCCTACAATGGCAAGCAAGAAAGTAAAAAGCTGCAAACTGCTGGAGCTTCATCATTTTAACTATATGACAAGGCTTGGGAGGAATAAGTGTGAAAGACACTAAAAATGGCTCATGTAGATCTTGTACACCAAGGAATGGAGCCTGAATTGCTCCTTCTTTATGAACTCCAGATGATTGCAGGTAAACTTATACAGAGCCTCAGCCATCTCCAGGGATAAGGAGAGGACTTCTTCCAAAGTCTGCCCAATTGTCCTTTCCACACACACCAGCAGCTTTCCCACCATGTCCTGTGCAGCTCGTAGCAGAGCACAGCAAAGGTAGCCCCAGCTCTCTGGACACACTACAGCAAAGGTAGCACCATCTCATCTGAGTTGCCTTTGCTCAAGCCAGCTCTTGGGCCTTAGGAGTTGTAAAAAACCTGGAGTTCCCAAGACAGCTCTGAAAAGTGATAAAGCAAGAAGCAGAGGATGGCAATCCCTGCCTCCAGCCCAGTGGAGGGATTCTCACCCTGAGAAAGCTCCTCCATCAGCTGCTGCCTGTCTGACACGACCTGGGAGCACTGCTGCAGGCCAGCTCATTTATTTTACAAAGCATTTTAAGGGCTACTACAAACAACAATATGGTAGTTCTCTACAAAACACACCCCAGTGAAAAGCAGTTCCCTGTGAAAGGAAGAAAAAAGTTTTGAAATCTGACAAGTAACCGAAAGAGGCAGGCCACAAGTGGCTGCTGAAGTGGCCTGGTGGGCCTTAGGATGTCTTGGACCATTAGTTTTGCAATCTTATCTTCTTGACGTGTTCTTCTCAGTAAAACAGACAGGAGATGGCCTGTAGGTTTTATCCCTTAAATGAACATGAGGGACGTAGGGAGTGTGGCCACAGCATCACTACCTCCTTGAAGAGACACAAATTAATAAAAAGGATGGAAAGACACCCTTCCTATGAATGTATTCCCATGAAGGATAGTGTTCTGCTACCTCTTTAAGAAAGCAAGAATAAAGGAAAAAACTATTTAAGCAAGAAGCGAAAAAGACCCCCAGGATGGGTAATGCTCCTCTTAGTGTTGGAGGACAGCTCTCTAACAGCATCTGTGCACTCAAAGTAGCCTCTTGCCATGCTCTGCAGGTGAAGTTACATTTTATTCTTAACCTCTAAGATGCAATGCTCATTAAGGAGGCTGCAAAAGCAGCAGAGAGGGAATGAAACACAGGAATTTCTGCGGGCAAATAAAGAAAAAGTTCAATGCACTATAAAAAAGCAGGTAAGTAGGACAGAAACCCATGTGTGCATGATGCAGATGTTGCTTCTGCAACCTATGGCCTGGCCCTCACAGCACGGGTCACCCACTCCACGAGGCAGGAGGACAAGCTGTGTGTGAGGAGGCTAAATTCATCCAGCCCGTGGCCACACTGCTGACTAATCAACCTGCCTCTTTTATTACCAAGCCTTCCAGCTGTCTCACAGCAGGCTCTCCCCATTCCCTGATTTCCTTCATTTATTTTCACTTCATTAAAGGACAAGCATTGTTAGGAAGAGGATAATGCTTCTGTAAGATGAACCACCAGAGAAGCAAAAGAGAAGTTTAAAAGAAATCAAGGGGGGAGAGAAATTGAGCATAGAAATCTCCTGCAATAAACCTTGTGAGCACATAGCAGATGTGAACAAAGAACTGCAGAGGATGCTCCATCCTCTTTGCCTCTCCCTTCCCCCATCCTCAAAGCGCACGTGATGAGATCACTCCACTCAGAAGCACATGCATGGCACAACACTGAAGGAAATCACTATTTTTGCTAAGCACAAGAAGTGGGAGCAGCTCAGCTGCAGGTAGCCTGCTTGACTTCACCCTTCTTGCTGGGCAGGCAGGACACGGGGATCGTGTGTGTGGTCACCCTGAGCACTGCAGCTGCTGCTGCGTGTAACGGGGACAAGAGACTCAGGTCGCAAGAGGTAAGTGCCCGTAACAGATTTCATCTCCACAAGGTAGGCTGGTCTTCAGTTTCACACCTCATTAGAAGGGGGAGGCTCATGCCAGCAGAGAAGCACTTTGCCTCACGCTGGGAGCACTGGCAGATGGCGAGTGCCACTGGCTCCGCTCAGCACCCTCGCCGTCTGACACTGTGCCCCACAAGCTGCAGGGGTGCACCCAGCAAGGGACTCCTCCTCTGCCCATCCGGGGGGTGGATTGTGCAGTCTTCTCTGCACGCTGCCAGAGAAACAAACGACTCCCTTTGGAGCGTGCAGCAGCGTATTCTCTGCTCTCCCACCCCATCACTGGCCTCCCTCTGCTGTGCTTGGTCCTTCAGCCTGCACCAGCTCCACTACTGGCCTTTGGCTGTGCCAAATATCACTGCTCACCTTTTTGAGGGCCTGGTTTCCGCATTATATCACCTGCTGCTGTCTTTATCCTGGGACTGGCTTGCTTTTAGATAACTGAAGATGTCTAGGACAAAAGAAACAGACATGAGAAAATTCCCCCATTTCGGAGCACACAGTCATCTGCAACATTAACTAATCACACAGCAGGGAGAAAATAAATGCTCTTTCACCCCAGGTTGCACAGAACATCTTCTACTAAACACAGACAATTCATTTCAACCCTCATGAAACTACAAATCTTCCTCTATTATGTGGACTTTGAATTCATGGCAGCACAAGGGGCATAAATAAGCGAGAGGAACATATGCCCATCTCCGTGCTAACTCTACTGCAAGTCCCAAGAGTGTGTGTGGAAGGGGGGGTTGTTCTTGCTCACTGACAAAGGCAGGCAGAGCTGAAATTTATGAAAGAAAACACATGGAAACATAACATTAACTCTGGCAAAGCAACACCACAATCCCCAGCTCACCACTTGCAATTCAAATTGCTCACAGCAGTTCTGGGTAATAAGGATGAGAAACTGGACGATGACCCAGGAAATATTTTTGCTATTAGTACTTCAACAAATGTCCAAGTTGTGCTGCCCATTTTTTTTTTTCCTGGCTGGAGGAAAATTGCTGGACTGCCCCCCAAAAGAAAAAGTATTTGCATACTTCTTATAAGCAAATGTTACTGAAAATCAGAGCTCCTGGGAGATGTGTTGGACACGTGGACAGACATCAGCGCTCCCGCACAGCCGCTCTCGCAGGGCAGTGCCTCCTGTGTGCTCTGAGCCTTGCCAGGTCCTGACAGAAAATATCTAAATGAGTGTCTGAGCTGCAAAAAAAGCCCTTAGGAAAGCTAGTAAAAGCATGTTTTGACATTACGCTTACTAATGAAAGATGAATTGTGTCACTATAACCCCATTTTGCTCACAATTGGGCAGTCAGGCTGGGCATTCGCTGGGCAGTCATTGCAGGATGCAATGCTGAGTTTTTGCTTAAAGAGTTATTTACAGACCCAAATTGGCAAGAAGTTTTTACTTTGAAAACCAGGCTTTTTCTAAGACAAATTAAGAGTTCGATTTTGTATAAAAGTGCTACAAACTACATCCTTTGTGTGCTGTGCCTGCCACATGGAGCAATACTCTGAGAAGGAAAACATTAAAGGTATATTACATACTAAAAGAAAAAAAACAACACACTAGTTGTTTTTTAATCCAAATCAAAAGGCACACAGCAGTCCCTTACTGCCTCTCATAAATAGTGTGTGTGTTTGTGCATACTTGTGAAAGGAGTAAAGTTTATTTTCCTTTCAATAGCAGAAGGCAATCTGCATGTGAAAGCTTATTTATACATTTTAATGCTTCTTTTCATAATTTTCTTCAGTCATTTTTATTACAAGCTAGCAGTCATGGTAGGAACAGTCCCCCAGCCATAAAATCCAGGGTGAAAGGTGTTACATGAAGGCACCAGACAAATATTCACTACCTTTGGCTCTGCACTCTGCTGTCTGCTTGGCTCCCCTGGATAAGGGGCTTCCTGAAGTACCCTAAACATTACCCGTAAATCTCACGTTTGGCACTGGACGAGTGTCACTGAGATGGCTTTTGAAATGTGCTACAGCCTGAGCACTGCAGAGCCCTGCCCAGCAGGGATGTGTAACCCTTCCCTGCTGCAGTATTTGGAGGATAAATTTGTAACCATGTAAGAGATGCTCACCATCCTGTCACAGACAGCAACAGCAGTAACGCTTAACTACTTGTAGAGCACACAGAGGAGTTGCTGGTGCCCCTCAGGCAGCACTGCAGAGGAGTCCCAGCAAGTCCTCATGTCATGGCAGAGAATGAGACACTGTAAATTTAAATTATTAAAAAATAAAAATGGTGAGTCTTCCCCAAAGAATACATGGGCTCCAGGTCACTCCCACTCTGCTGAAAACCATATGGCTGTGAGCCTGGGGACAGTGAGCTCCAAAACATTGCTTCCAAGACACTGTCCAAATGAGATGGCCCCAGCCTGGTTCCTGTCACCTTCACAGACCTCCAGTGCAGCTTTGCACCATCCAGATCCCCTGAATGTTCTCACACCACAGGACAGCAAGACATGGTTTGATCCTGAAATATTGTAACTTAAAAACGAAAGAAAGGCAGCAAAATAATGAGTTCACTTCAGGGCCACGTAGCACCCAGCAAAGAGCCAGAGCCAAACTCCACAACATGTGGTTTGCCACACCTGCCCATGGGCATGAGCCACCAGCCTCACAACACCCAAGTCCCTGCCTTCTCTACCTATGGAGACATAACCCATGTACCCCAGCCCTTCTGAAACTGGGATAAGGTGGGATTTATTAACACAAGGTTTGGGAATTGGTAATTCCAGTGGCTGTGATTTTATTCTGTAGTTGCCCAGGGAAGCTGTGAAATCTCCAACCTTGGAGATAATCTAAGTGTCAGTTACCAGTTACCACTGTCAGCAGCCTGATCTGACCTTGAAGCTGAGTCTGACTTCAAAGCCAGCCCAGCTCTGTGTGCAGGGCTGGACCAGACAACCTTCAGAAGTCCCTTCTCATCTGAAATATCCTATGGTTTTATTTCACTGGCAGCTGATTGGAAGGCAAGCAGAATCACCCAAGAGGCTTTAGCAAGTCTGAAACTTCCCAGTGAAGAAGACAGACTTCAGTCGTCAAAGGAGAAAGTTAACAGCACAACAGGTAAGGAAACAGACACTGAAGGACAGGAACAAACAGGTATGGGCTCCTTATACTGTTCAGGGACCTAAAACTGAAAAAAATATGATCTTAAAGTAATAAATAGCAGAAGCAGCCATCTGGTATCCAAAGGGGGAAAATGGGCTATCCACACAGACAGGTCTTTCTGAATGACCTTAGACAAACATACCCTGATGAGAACTTGTCAGCAGAGTCTCTGATACAAAGGAGACAATTTTACTTTGCCATCAAATAAAGCATCTGAGATTTAAACAGTTCAGCACATGCTGTAACACTCCATCTCCTCATGGCTCTCAAGTTGATGGCCCACAGGATGGAGAGCGGGGAGACAAAGTTCCTCCCCCAGTAAGCGAAGGCAAGGTTTGTGACCATTCGAGGAACCTGAACATACACAAGTCCATGGGACCTGATGAGATGCATCCCAGAGTCCTGAAGGAATTGGTTGATGTAGTTGCTAAGTCATTCTCCATAACATTTGAAAAGTCCTGGCACTCAGGTGAAGTCCCTGGTGACTGGAAGAGGGAATTACTCTACTTTTAATAAGTGCAGAAAGGAGGACCCTGGGAAATACCAACCTGTCAGTCTCACCTCTGTGCCTGCAAAGATCGTGGAACAGATCTTCATAGAAGACACACTAAGGCACATGGAGGACAGGGAGGTAATTCAGGACAGCTAGCATGGCTTTACTAGAGGCAAATCCTGCCTGACCAACCCAATGGCTTTCTAACACCAGGACAAGTGTAGGCTCCTGCACCTGGGCTGGGGCAACCAGAGATATCAATACAGGCTGGGGGAAGACATGCTAGAGAGAAGCCCTGTGGAAAAAGACCTGGGGGTACTAGTGGATCAAAAGCTATATATGAGCCACCAACATGCAATTGAAACCCAGAAGACCAAGCACATCCTGGGCTGAAACAAAAAAGTCTGGCCAGCAGATTAAGAGAGGTGATTCTGCCCCTCTACTCTGCCCTGCTGAGACTTCACCTGGAGTATGACATCCAGCTCTGGAGCCTCCAACACAAGAAGGATGTGGACCTGTTAGAGCCTGTCCAGAGGGGGACAATGAGGGAGACCAGAGAGCTGGAGCACCTCTCTTATGAAGACAGGCTGAGGGAGTTGGGGCTGTTCAGCCTGAAGGAGAGAAGACACCAGAGGGAACCTTATAGCACCTTCTAATACCTGAAAGGGGCCTCTAAGAAGGCTGGGGAAGAGCTGTTCACAAGGGCAGGTAATGACAGGACAAGGGGTAATGGTTTTATGCTGGAAAAGGGTGGATTTAGGTTGGACATTAGGAGAAAGTGAGGGTGCTGGATCACTGGAAGAGGCTGCCTGGAGAAGTGGTGGGGGCCCCATCCCTGGAGACACTCAAGGTCAGGCCTGACGGGGCTCTAAGCAATCTGTTCTAGTGTGAGATGTCTCTGCTTTTTGTAGGGGGGTTGGACTAGATGAGCTTTAGAGGTCCCTTCCAACCCAAGACGTTCTATGGTTCTATGATTTTATGATGTCCAGAACCTGAAACTTGTACAAAGCTGCATACCAGAGTAAAAACTTCCTCTTCTGAAAAAGCTGTATGTTTCATGCTTGTGCATATCAAGATAATCTTGCAAGCATGGCCCACAGCTTTATGTGGTGTTGGTTTCCAGAATTCACACCCTGAAAGGACAGATCAATGTGCAAATTCACTTCAGTAGGATGAAATCTAAAAAAGCCAACTGATTTGCCACTTTTTGTAGCAGATAAAGTGCCCTTCCCACAGTTTCAAACAACTTCCACTCACCGAGATATCAAAAGTGCCAACAGCTCCACTGAATTGTCATGGGCTCTAGGTACCCATCACTCCTACAAGACAGCAAAGTCACTACAAATACTATGACATATCAAAACCTAAAAGCACAGAGATAAAATGAAAAAAGTTTGCACTTAATTGCAAAAAAGCTAGGTTACCAGTTGCATTATTCATGTTCATATTTAATTCATTTAAAACATCCAAATTTAAATTGAAATAACAGCTTTTTTCCCACTTGCCATAGCAAAGCAGTGTGGAACTTAACACAATTTAAGTTCAGCTTGCAATGAGTACACAGGACTGTAACTGTCAAGGAACCTTTGATATGAGTAAGATCACATCAACTGAGTTGATAGAAACTAGTTCAGCTTTTGTAAAATGAAACTACCACACAAAGGATTTAAAAGACTAGACCTGATTAGTAATAAAAAGGAGAGAGACCACAGGAGAGGCCTATAAAATAATGAGCAGCACCAAGGGAATTAAACTGAGGATGTCAAATTATCCAT